AATAGGATCCTTCCATCGCGTCGCTTGTCCATCGACCTGCGCGTCGGATAGCCGAATCGCCAGCCTCGCCCATATCCGCCATTTTTGCTCCGGACTTCCTTCCTGCATGCGTAACGGCTGTTGATACGATCTTGCATGCGTCGAATGCCTTTTTAAGTGCCTTGTAATGCGCCGGTTGCTCGACATTCTTGGTTAAATCAGCAGGGTCGCTCTTGCAGAGTTTAATGTTGTACCATGTTTGAGGCCGTGTCATATCCGGGAATGGTTCGCCTTGAATGTGCCAACGATGGAAAAAGTATAATCCTAAAGCCATCCATAGACAGGTTTCAACATGCGCACACCGGATGGCCGATCCATGCTCTGCTTTACCGAACTGGTTTGTCTTGCCATGGTCCAAGAGCAAAATCAAACAAGGGCATTCCTTGTCAGGCGTGGGTCCTTCTCCTTGCAATGGGATGACATGTATATCTGCCAACTCGATTTGTCGAACATTCTCGCCACGCATGAACGCAAAGTGTGATACCAACATCATGACTGCGTTTCGATAGTGTTCGGATCTGTCGCGCGTCAGGAAGTAATCGATGATTTTGGCCAGTTCTTCAATCGTTGAGTATCCATCCAAAATGGATCCGGCAGCGCGATCTTTGAAGTTTGTACGGCGTCTCTTGATATCCTTTTTCCTTTCGTTTTTTAGCAACGACTTCACATCCGGAATTCGTGGGTTATTACTGGGATCGTTCAATCGAAGACCGCATTGGTCGTGGAAAAGCTGGATGATTGCACTGACGTACTGCTCAATCGTACTAAAACCGATCGTGTAAAACTCGTGTTCTTCCTGTTCCGTTTCGAGATCATGATGGTCGTTCGTCTGTCTTTCGGCATTGGCTTCTAATTGTTTTCTGATTGTGGGACGACGGATCCTGCCAATGACCTATACAAGATGCAATAAAGTATAAGCAAGAAGTCCATAGAAAGTTGTCTAAGCAGATCACATAATTTTCTTTAGTTGCTAATAATAAAGTATACTTACAACTTGTTCAAGAAACAAATGCAATTTATCACCATTAACTTGATAGCGGATAGGCTCAGGGAACTTCATGTCATCGCACCACTTGCAGAATTCGCTCATCTTGGGATAGTATGCAAGCTTGGTGGCATTGGGGCGAAGCTCCTGCGTCGTGCTTTGAGTGCGTTGTCTGGATGCTTGCATGGCTAGGTTCAATTCAGCGACGTGACCGGTGCCGCCGACTGCCCGATTGTTGCTATTAGCGGCTGGCTGAGAGGAAGAGGAGGAATTGAGGTTATATATTTGAGAGAGATAGTTGTGGTGTTGTTGAGGCATTGTAAATACAGAGGGTACAGAAGGTTAGATTGAAAGGCAATTTTCACTGTCGATTCCTCTCGTAAAGATCTCCTTATATACCTTTCCAAAGATACAAGGCTGAGCATGCTAGCAAACCACTTTTGCTCAGATGGCTCAGCAAGAACAAAGTACTTTCTATGTATGAATACGCATGTTAATTGCTCCATCCATTTCAAGAAGTGTCTATATACTGTACTTCTGCAACTTGCATAACGCTTGCGCCTCTGCTCAGCACCTTACTCAGCCTTCGCTCAATATTATTCTTTATATGGGTTGTTTTTTTTAATCAAATACTTAATCTATTTTGTAGCAATCAAGAATATTGTATTTTTTGTAATTGTATATGCCTTTTTTTTGAACTAACATTAAGGGTTTTATTATGGACTTTTGTTTCAATGAGAATAATCTATCAAGAGCTTCCGCGCTGGCGCGCGGTTTACGAACCAAATTTGGGAATGCGTATAAGAGATTCAAGTCCGCTTGTGGCTGATGACTCGAGTCTGGGACGCACAGGGAACCAGTTTAATATGCTCTACCTTTACGTACCATGTCCTACAACATGAGATCTGAATTTACAGAATGGATCGACGGCGATGAGATTGAGCAGGTCACGTTAATTCGTAAAACGGACCAAACTTATGCGCGACTCACTGACAACGGCTGGGAGCTACATCAGCAAAATCAAAAGAAAACTGAAAGCGGTGTTAGCATCACGAAGGTTTGTCTCGGTGCCGTGCAATGTGTAAAAGACGATTGCGTACGAAAGAACCTTCCGGTCAAGTCAGCCAGCACCAAAGCACTTATCAAGCTGCAGAAGTGTGTCAAGTGCGATACGGAGTTGCGACATATTCCCTGTAAAATTCGTGTCCACTTCAAGTTCGTTGGCAGTGTGGGCAGTGTCGAACATTGTGGTGTGCATTCGCACAGTCGATATGAAGCCGTTCATATCAGCAAGAGCTCCGTCGCCAAACTTGCCGAGAGAGTTTTGCAATCCCCGCAGGAAAGACCCATGGCTCTTGTTATAGGCACCAGCTCTCAAAGACCAATGAACCCACCACAACCTCTGCGCGAGATCGACAGCGACTTACAGCATGCTGGTAAAGTTGCGTATCACCGCCGCAACATCCTTGCAGCCAATGGCTTCAACGCTAAAGGTATACCCAGCATCGAAACAGTAACTTCTTCAGTAATGAAGCTCAATGTCGAGTATCCCGGTTATCTTCGTTCACCACTCGACCTCCATCCTGACAGTTTTTGCATTCCTTTCGCTTCGCCGTACATTCTGGACGATGTTGACTACAGCCGCCAACCAATTCTAATGGATGTCACTTACTCCTGCTTTGGCGACGGCTATTACCTCTGCAACTCTGTCATATATCAAGAAAAACTGGAAAAGTATGTTCCAGTTTTCCAAGCGGTTCTTGGTGGTTTAACCATTAAAAACTTCATTTCGTTCTTCACGACAATGTTCAAAGTTTTGAATGTAAAGAAAAACGACGACGGTGAACCATCTATGTGCGGGATAATGATGGACTTTTCCCAAGCGCAAAGAACCGGCTTTTTTATCGCGTTCAGCAACATTTTTCCCGGTGCCAAAAGTGGGGAGACTTACTTAAAGGGTTGCTATTTTCACTGGAAACAGTCGGTTGAACGTATACAAAAAATGGGTGATGTTGTACCAGTGGAACGCCGAAGGATATTCTTGGAATACACCAGGGTCATGTATGAGACGACGGTGGAACAGATGTTTGATGTTGTAACCGCTCAAATGGAGAAAGAATTCCCGCATACTTCAAAATGGCTAAACTGGTGGCATCGACCTGGCGTTGCTAGTATGATCTTTCGCTCGAAAACGACGATGCATGAAGAGCTTTTACTCAATGCCACAAGAACAACGAACGGCGTAGAATCATTCCATCGTAATATCTACCGTTTCGTTCAGCAATCCAAGCCGATTCTTTCAACATTACCTGAACTTTTCAACTACATGCGAAATGAAGAGAGTAACTTGGAACATGTTCTTGCTGGCGAAAATATACGTTATAAAATATCTGCGCCTTCGTAAGTTTCTTCTTAGCGTAGTGAGGGTGTGTATTGCATCGAAGCTAGTTAGCATCTGGCTTATTCTACGCTTTATATATGCAGTCCTTTCAAAGCGCCTAAAAAGAAAAACATAAGTGACAGTCGTCCTCCAGAGAAACTTAAGCAATTATTGTCAAGAAGTTCTACCACTAATACCAGAAAGCGCTATACAGAAAATAATTCAGATCAAAATGAGCCAACCAAAAGAGCAAGAAAAACAACTAATGATACTTCACTTGGTAAAACAATAAGCTTGTTGTTTGTAAGAGTTTGAGAATACAGTAATTGAAACCTAATTAAAACATGTATATAGACTCTTTAAATCTATTTTTGGAAGAGGACGAAAAGGGAACCGCGGTGACGAAAAGGGAACATAGTAACGGAAAAGGAACGGGTGGGAGAATGACAAGATTGAACAAAAAGGGAACGCGGAAACGAAAAGGGAATGGGTGGGAAAATGACAAGAGTGAACGAAAAGGGAAGAACGTTATTGCCACTGACTTCGCACAGACAGTTCCCGATCAAGATCTCGTATCATGCGACCTGGCCAGAACTGCGGCAGCCAGCGTCAATGAGCTCCCTTCCTACGCAACAGTTCCTGTCGAACATGGCAATATAGAGGTCTACTCGTCTGCGCCTAACTCTCCTACGCTGTCACAAGATATGGAAGTGGATATGGTAGCAGCTTGACGCTGAGCCAAATGCTGCTGATGGTAACCAAACTACTTGTACTCCGTATATTGATGTCAATTTATCACCCGCTTCCAAGGTGACGCTGTCCCTTGAGAATTCTATTTCATCTAGTGCAAGCGATCCATCTGGTCCTGATGCGTCACCCGCGGGTGACTCCTCTACCCAACCGTCTTTTCTGTAATCTGTCAATGACGTGGCTGTCAAACTTTGGGATTCTACCTGTAGCGACTCTGGAACGCGTCGCAGCACACGCAATCCCAAACTCAATCCTAAATATCAATGGAAGACATCAGATTGAAAATGAGTACACTCAACTGTCGTGGCCTCCCTAAGACAGGCGAGCCATCACATAGTAAACATTTCATACGCTTTCTTCGCTCTCAATCACTTGTTACAGGAAACTCATGCCGAATCTCCTGACCTCCAATCTCGTTTTCATTTCCACTTCTTCATTTTGGTCACAACATGTTGGAATCATGTCTCTTAACCCTTGTATTTCTCTATCTCTTGTTTCTTTCGAGTTGGATGGTCGGGCTCTACTGTTCTGCCTCCCACACTAATTTTGATTTCCCCTCTTTCATATCATCGTTATTTATGCCACAGCCCGCTCCTCACCACGTGGACCTTTTTACGCTTCTCTTGCGCAATTGCCTTTTTTTTGCTTCTACGTCAGTAGACCGCAGCGTTTTGCTCGCAATCGTTTGACTGGATCGTTTGAAATCGTTTGGCTGGATCGTTTGGATCGTTTGGCTGGATCGTTTAAAATTTTTTGGCTGGATCGTTTGGATCGTTTGACTGGATCGTTTGGATCGTTTGGCTGGATCGTTTAAAATTTTTTGGCTGGATCGTTTGGATCCTTTGAATGGATCGTTTGAAAGTGTTTGACTGGGAAACGATTTCAAACGATCCAGCCAAACGATCAAAACGATCCAGTCAAACGATCCAAACGATCCAGCCAAAAAACTTTAAACGATCCAGCCAAACGATCCAAACGATCCAGCCAAACGATTTCAAACGATCCAGTCAAACGATCCAAACGATCCAGTCAAACGATCCAAACGATCCAGCCTAAAAAAAATCAAACGATCCAGCCAAACGATCCAAACGATCCAGTCAAACGATCCAAACGATCCAGCCCAAACGATCCAAAACGATCCAGTCAAACGATCCAAAACGATCCAGTCAAACGATCCAAACGATCCAGCTAAAAATTTTAAACGATCCGGTCAAACGATCCAAACGATCCAGCCAAAAAATTTTAAACGATCCAGTCAAACGATCCAAACGATCCAGCCTAAAAAAATCAAACGATCCAGCCAAACGATCCAAACGATCCAGTCAAACGATCCAAACGGTCCAGTCAAACGATCCAAACGATCCAGCCAAACGATTTCAAACGATCCAGTCAAACGATCCAAACGATCCAGTCAAACGATTGCGAGCAAAACGCTGCGGTCTACTGACGTAGAAGCAAAAAAAAGGCAATTGCGCAAGAGAAGCGTAAAAAGGTCCACGTGGTGAGGAGCGGGCTGTGGCATAAATAACGATGATATGAAAGAGGGGAAATCAAAATTAGTGTGGGAGGCAGAACAGTAGAGCCCGACCATCCAACTCGAAAGAAACAAGAGATAGAGAAATACAAGGGTTAAGAGACATGATTCCAACATGTTGTGACCAAAATGAAGAAGTGGAAATGAAAACGAGATTGGAGGTCAGGAGATTCGGCATGAGTTTCCTGTAACAAGTGATTGAGATCGAAGAAAGCGTATGAAATGTTTACTATGTGATGGCTCGCCTGTCTTAGGGAGGCCACGACAGTTGAGTGTACTCATTTTCAATCTGATGTCTTCCATTGATATTTAGGATTGAGTTTGGGATTGCGTGTGCTGCGACGCGTTCCAGAGTCGCTACAGGTAGAATCCCAAAGTTTGACAGCCACGTCATTGACAGATTTCAGAAAAGACGGTTGGGTAGAGGAGTCACCCGCGGGTGACGCATCAGGACCAGATGGATCGCTTGCACTAGATGAAATAGAATTCTCAAGGGACAGCGTCACCTTGGAAGCGGGTGATAAATTGACATCAATATACGGAGTACAAGTAGTTTGGTTACCATCAGCAGCATTTGGCTCAGCGTCAAGCTGCTACCATATCCACTTCCATATCTTGTGACAGCGTAGGAGAGTTAGGCGCAGACGAGTAGACCTCTATATTGCCATGTTCGACAGGAACTGTTGCGTAGGAAGGGAGCTCATTGACGCTGGCTGCCGCAGTTCTGGCCAGGTCGCATGATACGAGATCTTGATCGGGAACTGTCTGTGCGAAGTCAGTGGCAATAACCGAGCGTGGACACGAGGATACAGCATGGCCGTAATTGCCGCAACGATGAAAGGCTTTTACATTATGTGTTTTTGCTCGAGGGCAATGCTCTTTCTCATGTGTATCTTCTCGACAAAGGCGGCAATAGGGAGGCAACCCTTTCCAAAAGGCGCGGACATAGTAATCCAGGCCAGGGTGAAGAGTTGTATGCGTTGACAGCTGCATGTCAGTTTGTGAGACGTCACGATAGGCACAACCTTGGCCTATGAAGACGGAATATTCAGGCGACAAAACCAACTGATCTCCAAGACTTTTCCAAAAGGATGAAGCATGGATTGAATGTCTTTGCTGGAGCTCGCTTTCGGGGCGGTGGGGAAGATGATACAGGCTGATTCCCAAGAAACCGGAACCTTTTCGTAGTGCTGGAGTACCAATAATAGGATGACCGTGTATGTTTAGGCCAATGGTTTCAAGAGCGTGTCGTTGTGCTTCATCCCGAGTAGTGATTTCGACAAGGACCCAGTTATCCTTAAAGCGCAATTCGACGCCAAGCGGCATTGCAATCGGGAATTGGGCAGCGATAGCGTTAAGAATGACCGTGCGATCCTTGGTAATGGCTGTGGTCCCGAAGAAAAGACTTGGTTTGACTGAGTGCATGTACACATTTGTGCGTGTATGAGGCCCAGTGACGCTAGGGAGGGCACCCGTCGAAAGAATAGAGTGACGAATATTTTTTGATAATAGGTTTGGTGGTTTTAGGGCGATTACGTTCAACGTAAGACGTGTTTGCTTGCCGAAAATTGTGGTTGTTGTTAGGCCTTTGTCATTTTTTGTGTCTCATAGGCGAAAGAGGGCACTCACACACTACACGCTGTGGCTCTGAAATTCTTTGAGTTTGAAATTTTCAGGGGAGCCTTTGATAGAATGGGTGGACACAAGGGTTTTGTAAAGTTGGTGAAGTCATCTTCTCCGTATATAAATGTATTTCTTTCAGTTGAGTGAAGTTCTGCTTGTTAGATACAAGACTATGGTTGCCAGAAAAATTGTCCGGCTGTTCGTTGTGGTTATCGCCAAAGTCAAAATCGTCGACAGATCCACCGTCATTCGATATGGCTGTCTGGAAAGGAGATTTTTGAGATTCAGTGGTAATCACCTATTAGTGGACAGTAGAAGACAGATCGTCGTGAACTTGCATGCTGGGTGGGTTATTTGACAAAGAAACCTAAAAACGATCATCAGCAGTCGACTAATGCTGCCCTGCTCAAAACAGCGCGTATCTTACAGTTTCATTCATGACAGTTTGCGCTGCGGACTCGTTTGAATACCGAATTTCACCGACTTCTTGATTGCTCTATAAAGGCAAACGTTTGTAAGCAGGCTTGAGTGATATAAATCAATAAAGAAACATAAAATATCTATGTTCTCTTACTAGTTCAAGTATGTCTGCATTTTCGACTGTTCGATCCAAAGGATCTTGCTCTAATCGGATCTATTCATAAAAGTTTGTGCGTTTAATAGACAACCTCCCAGTATTTCCGCGAAGCGGTAACAACGGGAATTGATTATTAATAATTAAGTTAAAATAAAATGCTTATTTAACATTTAATTAATTAATATCAATGGTGATTTTTTAAATTTATGAATCTAAATAAAAAGAAAAAGAAAAATCAGTATTAATATTGATTCAAGAAGTTTATAATACCCCTTTAGGTTACAGTATTATGTAACGAGGATAATAAAAGAAAAGAAGATTCTTTTATATCCTACATGAGGAATATCGACGAAATGTACTTGTCAAAGAGATTTTAAGATGTAAGAGATGGACTGGGGTGGTCCATTCTTACGAGCAGGAGTAGTTAAATATAACAACTTTAGTTGTTAGTATTCAATATCCAACGTACTATTTGGGAGTGAGTATCTCGTGTTTGACGCGACGGCGAGTGATGCATAAACCCGATGTTTCATGTGATCGTCGTGTGTGCCTCGATACCATAAATTACAGAAATAGCATCTTTCCGTTTAAAGTCGAGTGGACGTAGATGGATACTCAGGTGTTGAAGTGTCAGCCATTTGTATCTGTGAAGTTGTGCACTGTCGCATAGAGTGGACAGGAGCACTCATAAGCATGCAAATTGTGGCTGGGTACAGCGGCTACTTTTCTGTGCACCTCTTTTACTAAACAACCATGGGCAATCCTCTTCGCTTCAACTACTAGCCAATTATTTTGAGCTCACGCGTGAGATTAGGGCACGCGAAATGAGGAAATCAGAACTGAAATTGCTTCACTCAGATCTGAGTTGAATACATTATTGGATGCCGTCGAAGCCTTACTTGCTCATGAACGAACACAAGTCCAACCCGTCAAGTATCCCAGTGTGCCTCTTGAATCAAGAGGTCAAAAGAATCCTTTCAGTGATATAACGATCAAGCGTGTTGTTGTTCACCCTAAAGGCAGTGATGGCAAGCAGCGGCGATTTTCTTGGGGCTGTTCGAGATCTTGGCCTCTGAAGTTCTAAAGACGTCTGACTGGGATCGTGCGCACTACACCTCTTTCTCAAAGAATGTCATCCCTTACTCGGAGGGTCTTATTTATTTCCTTCTCGGTCGTGAGGACAACGTAAATCGTACGCAGCACCAGTGGAGCGATTTGCCGAAGTCACTGAGACTTGAAGTTATTATCATACCTTACTCGAACAAGGAGTGGGTGACAACTTTCCGTTGAGAGCTTGTGTTGGTAACTGGGGCGCGCGTCTCCTACTCGTTCGAACTTAGCAGAATCTTCGAGGTAATGTTTGGAACGCTTTGTGATGGAACTTTGACAGAGATTCATTTGCTCTAAAAACATTCACCTCTAACATTCGCTCAAGACTCTGGACAACCAAGAACCGTGCCATCAACTCAACCTGCACCAGATACACGTCCTAATACACAACGGTAAAGATAAAAGTAAAAAGGTATCAGTTTCAGTGAGCCTCCCTACTTTCCTCTTAAGTTGTTTGCATTTTCTGCGAATTTCAGTCGTCATAGGGATTACCAGATAATCTCTATTAAAAATGTGGATAAAATCTGTTGTTTTGTTTGAGTATAAGTGAATTGTCTATACCGTAGGAAAACCTGTAAATACACATATGTTATTTTCTGTGGAAAAAATATTATTTTTTGTATTATGTGCATCTCTATTAATGATTGTAAATCTATGAGAAACTGTGAATGTCTTCAATTGACGATTGATAAGACAAGAGGCTTTTCGAACTTTAAGGGTATTATAAGAAATAACTGCTGCACTCATATCTTTTTTATTGCTACATATGTGAGACGGGTTTCCGAGTTTTAGATTATTAGGGATCAAGCCTCGATAAACATAATACACACGATTTGGATACTGGTCTCAAAAAATATATCCGCACAGTACTGTACATCAATGTTCGAGGCATCCGCAACATATATCATAGCTTTTTGCCTGTAAAGGCATTATGATTTTCGATTCCATACGCTACGCCGGATCCATTAAGTCTTGTCAATGTATGTATACGAAGTAAGCATAAAGCCCAGTTTTGACCTATACGAAACGAGTTGATACTGTAAAGCACCTTACTTTGTCCCGAACACGAAGAAGAGGAAAGGCTAATTATCAATGCTCATTTCCGTTCGCTTACCTGCAGCCTCGCTGAAAGCTGATGTAAAACCGCCCATAATTGAGCTTGCTCGTGTTCCTCTCTGTTCTTCCAATCCAGAACTAGTTTGGCTGAGAACAACATTCATTTCAACATAATGACGCGCACTGATCGCTGCATATTAAGAAGAGATATTGACAAAGGTTTAACTGAGTAACGGCCCACTACTGGCGTGCGAGTATTTTTTTATTACCGTGACTCTGTACAGCTGCTTTTCTTAGTTTTTCGTAGCTTCGTCAACGTGATTCTTGTAATGCTTTCCATCTCGCAAACGTATTGGGCAGTAGGGACATTTGCGCATGGTGAAAGTTGAGTGTTAAACTGTCACAGCAAAAATGTCGGTGTGGTCGGAAAGAAGTTCAGGTGCAAACCCACACCTTTTGACAGCGGCGCTTTCCTTTTCTGTTGCTCTTCTTCCCTTCCTTCCTGCTTTTTTCACCTCCACACTGCCAAATAACTCCATAGAAGGGCAACAAATTGCTGACGCGTTGAATCAGCTGAGTTCGACACAAAAAGTGATCCTTTAATTACTACAAAAGCAGCACCAAGATCGATCCAGTAACGGTGAAAACGCCGCTACGGACAAACAACAAACATAATACCGCTACCGAGAAAAAGTCGAGCGAACAAATAAGTTGTATAAAAAGAAGTTGGAAGTGTCCGACGTTTACAACCTCATCGATCCATGGAGCAGCATGTACAGGATGGAATTTACAGCACGATCGTCCCTTTATGTATCGAATCAGTTGAACGCCTGTCGGCACCAGTCAACCAGAATAAGCCCTATGCCAGCACTTGGGGCTCTTTGCCAAAAGTACACAAAAACGACGAAATACTGCTTGCTGAGCAAGCGATCGTGCGATCGACTTCATTTCACTTTGATCGGTGCGAAGGCAACTGGACCGCTTCAATTGTCATGATTCAATTTGGAATAACAAACGCGGGTACAGAAACAGGGACATAGCTACTTTGATTATAATCTCTTTACTTCACTGTCAAAAGACGTACAATGGAAAACTACTATCACCAGATGAATGTAGGAGTCGGTCTACAGGTCAAGGACCTCCGTCTTCTCAACCAGAACTTTCTTTCTCTACCTTGCTTTCCGTGAATGAGGAGCCCATGAACAACAGCAGCCGCAAGACAATTCCTCAGATGCAAGACAACAGTCAGATCCACGTGTAGCTACTGAAAACAACAATACTCACCCTTCAAAGGACGGTTATGAGTATTTATAAGTAACCGATTTGAAGGTGTTCTCTGATAACAGCTCTTCGTTTGTAGTGATAGTACGAGTTCTCACCAGTCAGTATTCGATAATATCCAAGCAAACTTTCCTGACATACATGAGACATTGCAAAATCCAAGGTATACTAGGGAAGGACAAGCAATGATGTTTAAAGTGTTATCTATTTTTTTATTTTTTGCATATTTAAATTGTCGCCATCTCTACCTTCTCCAAACCAAGAAGAACGGTATGGGCATTTTGTGATGGATGAAAAAGGGGATATGGTATTATATGTAATTAACAGCGTTTGTTTATGTTAGGATCAGTGGCGAGCGTACCCGCATGCAAACGATATTCTCCACCATCATGTTTCGCCCATAGGCGATATTGCCTCTACTGCACCACCCATCAATGCACGACAAGAAACCTCAGCATACCGCAGGACTTTATCACCATCTCCTTCTTCCAGCGAACAATCATATCCAACTTCTCGAGCGGCACAAGCAATATTATCAGCAGGGAGCTGGATATGTTGGTTTATCGGAGCTGCGAACAAATGCCCGTGCTTTTCTTATACCTGTGGACTCGGTCATCACGTCAGATAACGTTATACAGCAAGCTAAAAGTCCGTCTGACACATCTTTATGAGCAAGTTCCTCTCAGCAAGTAATTCCTTCTGCTAGCAACATTGACCGCACCGTCGCAATGCAGCATGAACAAGATCCGCAGCACTAACATTGCAACTAACTGACCAAATCACCCAGCAAAAGCCTGCCAAGAGACGAGGACGACCCCCTAAAAAATAAGGCATGACAGAACAATCGCAGTATCAGGAACCACAGGAGCATAGGAACCATGGCTGTAACAATGGACCACATTGAAGTATCGCTGTATATAACAAATAAACAATTAAAAGTAGTGGAAATCGTTTTTAAAAAGATCGGAACTCCCTGTTCTTGCTTAACAGATATATATACTGTAATTATAACTAATTTACTGTGAATTGATGGTTTTTTTCTCTGTGAAGCATTGTAACTACATGTGTTTTTAATGTTAAAACTTGTTATTTTTGTTCCTGTGAAAAACTTATGGATTTGCCCTTTCCATCTGGATTCACATGAGAAAACTTCATACAGAATAATAGTTTTCCGCCTTTTTTTTCGCCGTGGTGAATACCGTCCATGTTGACGTTGGTAAGACAGAGGGGGCATTACCAGCAGCAACTTCGAATCATTCTACAAGCATTACTCAAGGTTCAGCAACTGTCAACGTTGGTGCTGGTAGCGAAGTGCACACGAGGTATTGTTTTCAATACTTACAGAACGGATCTTATTTTGAATATCTATGCTATTTTATCACGCAGGGAGCCAAATTTATGTGATGTGCCACGCTCGCCCGGAACACTTATACTGGATGCGACACTGTCTAGCGATGAGGACACGACACGGACAATGATACTTTTAATTCTTACAGGAGTAGTGCTGCGCTCCCACTGAAAATGTAACGCGTAGTCAGGCATCCTCTGGTCACGAATCTAGCCTAGGTCTCTCTCGCTTCCATGGCCACTCTATGTCATCTTCAATGCCCGTTGCAGTGACAACAGTGTCTGTAGCCACACCTGCGTTGGCACCGATTGAAAACAGAGCAGGTCGTGTATGCTTTTTACCTAGCACATTATGTATGAGATTATCTATAAAACGCGCATGATACTCACAGTTATATTTTCGATATATCGACAGCAAACAACCAAAACCTCAACCGGACCGTGCCAAGCACAAACACTATCAACAAGTCGCCTACTCAGAATGAAGATCCACGACCAACAGAAAGAAAGCGAGGTCGTCCGAGGAAGACAGCCTGCATGTAGGTCGGATCACAATGATCTCTTCGAAACAGCTCTTCTCACCTAAGGATTTCTCGGTAAAAGTAGTAGTGATGGACGCTTACTGTGCGAAAAGGTGGTTTTCGCTCACAAAATTATTTTATAGCAGTAAAATCCTCTTTTTCGGACAGTGAGTGTCCAAAACTGATAGTAGCATAGCAACAAAAAGCACATGAACAATAAAAATACAGATGATTAAAAATGTATGAACTCGTACAAAAAGTATTCAAAAATATTCAACCTGGAAATTCATTACAGCTGCAAAATGAATATTCATTTATTTTCATATCTATCCTATGTTTCTCGAATACTTTTTCCTGAGGTGTACATACTAATTACTTTCCTTTTGTTTTTGAAAAGTTCCCCGACTTGGCCCCATACATACTAGCCGAGCGAAAAAAACAGGACTATGGGCCGGCAGAACTTTTTTGTTTGGTCCGAGCGAACTATCTTGAGCGCTTGGCAGGGGCCTGTCGACAGTTGAAAGCTTCTAATATTTCTGGTTTGGAAATAATATCCTGTCGGTCGAAAATGATCACTTTTGATAACGATGGTATAAGATCAATCACGAGTTTCTGTATACGGGTATTGTCACTAAGAAAACTTAAATGAGATTATGCATGCATAGAAAGACTACTCTTTTGACTGTATGTACCAAACAAATTGATATATATCGTGGCAGTCGGTGCTCAAACCTGCGAAATCCAAAGCTACCAAACAAATATCCTTGGGAGTGGCCTTGAGATAATTGAGAAGATCTATGAAGGGCTTATTTTAGATTTTGAAGGGGTACATATACAATGGTGTTGCTTCAAAGCGTTACCTTGGCAAGAACCATCGACGTTGTGCAATTTTTTTAGAATACTTGTAGGCCGTGGCATGTCCCTAACCGGTAATGGACCACTACTGGTACAACAAGGCGACACATAAACTTTGTCAACGCGAGAGCGTTCTTGCAAACGGCTCACCATCTGTTGCAGCAGCTTTACTCTATTGTTGTCGTTTTTGCCCTGTGATGGCGACTTGCGGACATAACCGAGCACCTCGATCCCAGCATTCTTCATATCTTGTATCTCTGCCTGATACCGGGACAAATGGTCTTTGATTTCTATGATTACTTTTTCTTCATGGGTGTTAGTTTTCTTTCGTCATGAAGACATATGTAACGTTCCAACAGTCATATCTCTCGTACCGTGATATCGCGTTTTAAGCATATATAAAGATCTTCGTCTTTCTTTCTGCGAATCCTTGTCAGTGCTGTTGAATGGCTTGGCTTCAACTGTCATCATTTTCACTTTTTGTTTACTACACCATTGCCCAAACCTTTTGGGGTCCAGGAGATCATCTCGAAGATGAGGTGCCAACATCTTGATTACAGCAGAATTGGAAAGGGAAACACTGTTGTATAGTGCATCGTTGCCTGGATCGTCGATAAGAAATAGTGTATCCAAGGTTTCCACCAACTGCGCCTCTGTCAAATCCTTGTTTTCCTTGTCACCAACATCCGAGGATGCTTCAGGTGTTTCGGCACGGGGATAATCTTGAAGATATTTCTTATATGTGATTGGTCGTGCATTCACCTTGGCTTTTGACATCACAAAAGGATCTTCGGGGTCGCTTTTATACACAAGGATAGAATCTTCGTCGCGAGCGAGTTTTTCAGCACAGCGTTGCGCGTTTTCTGCGGTGTGCTCAACAGCATAGTACATACAGGCCGCCTGTCTATATGTTATTTTCAATTTTTTATGTGCAGACATGATTCTAGGTGGTCGAAAAAAGACAATTTTAAGGCCTGTGATTGACTGCAATGTTATGGTAGAATATTATACCGAGGTTGACTGCCAGGTAATACCTGTGTCTACTTGCCCATGGCTCTTCCCACTCCCAACACAACCCTGAAGGCGCCAATAATAGTAGCCCCCAAAGCAATGTCTTAAAAAACTCACACACACACTCAAACACACAGGAAAAAAGGAAGAGACTTACCGTAAGTGATCGTAAAAAAGGTAAGAGAAGTGAAAAAGCGAGGAAGCAACATGCTGTGGAATATGGGTGCCTTTTTATGCACACGTCCAGATCCCGCTTCCTACCCCACCCCGATCCACAGTCCGTGCTAACAAAGCGGGGGAGAATGACAGTTCTTCTGTATCGTAGCGACAGTAACACGATCACAACGCACTTTATCACATTTTGGTACGCTCTTTTTTAGTTTCTATGTTCGCGTAGTTCTGTTCGTGAAAATAGTCGAAAGGAAAAAAAATTGCTGGGAGGGTATGCACACCAGCAACAACGGCGCTTAAGGCAAGCTGTTCTAAGCTGAGAGAACGGGTTTAATGGTATGTTTCGTTTGCCACGCCCCTTTCAACCCTTGATTAACCGAAAACATCGTTGGCACAAATTTTCATTGAATAATAAGATTATGCATGCTTGACTCTCGTACGAGCCGACCATCCTGCTTTTTTTCTGTATTTTGTTTTTCCCCACATATATCACACCTCACCCACACATACGCCGATTAAGTCACACCACGTTTGATTGACTTTGTATCGCTACTGCTGAGGGAGGTGGTTGATAAAACGAGCAAACCAAACCACAGTATCAACCTGAAGAAGCAGCCTGTTTGGATAATAGTAGCTCTAAGATGACGCGCATACTATGCTGAAAACAGCCATGCTTCTGCCCACATCCATCATTGCGGGCTTGGAGGATCGGCAATCGCTGATTGCCGTGGGCATATACTCGTATAAGAGAGCGTTTTTTATTTTCGTTACACACACCACCACAGTTGATACAACAATGGCCGAGACTTTCTACAATGTCTCACTGATCCCATGAAGACGCTGGCTGCGGCGTTCAGCACATGTTTACTCCAAACAAAACCCAAACAAACAATTTATTGTTCAATATAAACAACATTGACCCGAGCCCTGTACAGAGACCCTTTGATCATTGGCCTGACCTTTGCGCTATCTCAATCTAATACACGCCCAGTCATCCTGCTGATAAGATATTAACCAACTTGCATAACACTATCCGCTATCTCCCCCATCCCCCATCCCCTTCTTTCCTGATACTTTTCCTTTTTTGGATTATAATTCACCAATATAACTAGTAACAAGACAACCATTCCAAGTGCATCATCAGCCGTAAATAATCATCAAGAGCTCACAAACGACATCATATAACGCGTCAGCCCATTCGGGTTATAGCCGTTCATTGCTCTACAGATGTTGTTTACATGAAATGGATCATTCGAGTATAGGGTTTCCGTAATTTATGGTGCATACTAGTGTGTCTCAAAATCTGGAGATATCTGGAGAGTTTTTTCATGTGTGAAATAAGTAGGGCATAGGCATAAAAGGGAAATTATTGGGGTTGATGAGGAAAAAGAGCTTCTTCCTGACGGAAGGTGATGCGTAATTTGTGGGTAGAGCCGATGACAGATTGAGGGTGGAATGGGATAGAAAAAAATATAAAGCCAATGGGCTCGCCACACTCCAACTAGAATACCTATAAGAATCTGAGCGGTTGTATGATAGAGGAGATTGAGATGAAGGCCACGAAGGCATAGTAAGGTGGCGTCGGAGACAGTGTGCTCGGAGGCCGGCATCCCCTTATTTCACCCCGGTTGAGTGTGAAAAAAATTGGAGGGTGGTGGCTGAGGCGGGAGGAAAGAGTGGGGTTCAATAGCAGCAGCAACAACCAAAGATCTTTTTTTTCTTCTCATTAACAACCACCATGGCAATTCAACAGCTGCGAACACACTTGTATATGACTTTTTACTGTCTCCATGATGAATAGAAGAGAAAAAGAAAACAAAGCGGCACAATCCACAGTTTGAACAAAAAACGAATCATGGTAATTGTTTTTTTAAAAAAAGCATGTGCTAAGATTTGTAAGGCGTAGACCGCCGTTACTGTAGAAAAAACGATAGCCTTTCAAAGTTGCGTAGGTGATCAAGGGAAGGAAAAGGTTGTCGGTTGTGCTTGGGGTATAGCTTTGGTGGATACATGCTCATTCAGAATTACTGCTTTTTTCTCTTTTTTTTTTCTGTCTATACTTAATGTACCATCTTGCGCCATTCCAACGTCAAACTTACTGCGTAATGCAACATCGTCTTCTACTTGCACATTCAACTCGTACTCACAACAACTACGACGCAACATTCTTCTTCTCCATTACTCAAACACATTCATATACAACATGACGCTGATCCGCCATTGGCTTGCAAAACATACAGCCTGACGCAATTACTTTTTTCTTTTTGCATATACCAACACAAACATCGCCGGTCTTGATAGGTAAAGGAGTTAAAGATAGCAGGAAGGACAACTGATCAGTCTTTCTCATTTTTGTTAATGTGGATTAATTAAAAATTAAGAGCGATGACAGATATACAAGGAAGACATAAAAAGAGGTTCTATAAATGTTCTATAAGTGTCATATAAGTGCGAAGGATGTTGTTGTGTGGGGATGATGCGTGGACATTGTAATTATTGACGTTGCGTAGCAGAGCGTCTGGTGTGATTGTGCTGTCTCATGATGTCTTCATGGAAAAGAGCTAATTCCCTTACACGCTGTGCATATTGTTCACTCACTTCTGGTGGTATTGTAGAGAGCTGTAATATGCTGTTTCGGTCATGATCCATTGATGTTAAGGTTTGCGCAATATATTGCAGATTGTCGCGAAGGTCGTCAATAATATCTACTGTTTCTTCAACAGCTACGTTCTCAACAGCTTCAGCAATTTGCAACTCACCTTGCTGGTTAGGAATCGTATGTGGAATCAGCTCAAGTGCTCTAGTCTGCACTGTTTCAAAACCAAGCATCATATCTGTGAATCGCTTCAACAAATACAAGTGCTTGCAAAGAGCTTGTCTATGCATAAAATATTCACAGGTACAAAATAAAATAAGCTTATCAGCATTGACAGCTATCTTGTATACCTCGGTTGATTGAGACTGAAATGAGTTTACTTTCCAAGTGCCCATCATTGGAGTACTGATATGTCCCCCCTCAGGATTGCGGATCATTGTCGCAATAGCATCAACAGTTACTAGAGATGCAGTATATCGGCGCAGTGATAGTTGATTTTCGACAGGACCCATACGACCGTTGTTGCAGAAGACTCGTTCGCGTTCGCATTTAAAGTAAAACTCGACTTCGTGCGTAAGAACAAAAAATAAGCGGTCAAGTCGTTTGTTGCGGATGTGTTTGAGATAGACAGTTTTGAGCTAGTTATGCCATGATTCGATAAAGTTGTTGGTCGTCATAAATCTGTTGTAGGGATGGACGTATGTCGTTGACCAATGCTGGATAATGTTCTCGTGCAAATAATGCCGTTCCAAATCCTGGAATTCCTCTTGCTCATAATACTTCTCCTGAAATTCCTGGATGGCATGGTACAGATCATCGATATCCTGTTCGTGCAGCATTGCTTTCAATGCAGTCATCATTTCGCTACGATACTCCTTTAGGTCATCGGCTGTCTTCGATGCATCCAAGCGAACTTTATATTTCAGGTTGCGGTTCCATGCTTGGATGACATGAAACGCGCAGTAATGGATGGCTGCCAAGGGGAATTGGGATTGGATGGCATTAACTTCGGGAATGCTGCAATCAATGATCATCATATCAATCACCATGCCACACGTATTGCGAAGAAACTGTAACCATTGAGTGATTGGACCGCCAGAGTGATCGTTGGTGAACATATATGCAATGGGATAGCCAGTTCCTGTGTGAGGATCGCGTGTTACAATGGTGTACATAATATCAGCAAGACGACTTGTGATGCTATGGGTAGCATCCATGCAAACGGACGTTGAGTTTTGGAGCTGGGCAAGCTGCATTTGGGATAGGAACTCGAAAGAGTAAGTGTCGATGGAGGTGGTGTATTCGGATGTATTGCCATTGTATACAATATAGTTCTCATTGGCAAGGCGTTGATCCAGCCAGACTTTTGCTGACAGCATATCATTTGGGTTGAACTGGTAAAGGTCGGTTTTCAACTATATTAAAATGTTTTAGTAATGTAAGATTACTAGATTGATGTGTTTAAAAAGTACATCAATCTGTTGACATACCTTCAACATCATGTTATATACATCCTCATAATTCACACGTCGTTGTCCAGTACTGTACACCACTTGGGATCCTTACTGTGTTGACGAGCTTGCACCAGCATTGTTTCGTGCCTCGTCCACAGTGTCAAGTTGTCGCAAGATGGACATACGGATATCCCTGCAATTTCTTCCGTCCTGCAGCTGCCGGGTGATGCTGTCGACTGTCAAGGACGTCAACGGAAGAGTGCGCACGTCATCGCGATCTCCAGGAACGTGATTGACGTGAGGACTTGTCATTTCGATCTCACAAGTGGTTGGGAGATCGCGCCAAATGGTGACCTTCAACTTGCTAGTACAGCCGCACTTCTTACTGTCCTTCTGGGCGAGTCGTATATTACGCTTTGGGGTATAGCTGCTGAAACGATGACAATAGAAAGTCTCCCTATAAAGGATTCTGGTGCCATTCACAGTCTTGCGTTTGTGGACCCATTTGTAGCCACACAATTCCGAGATGCGATCCTTGAAGATTTGCCATTGAGCAGCAGGAACGCGCTCGATTTTGTTGGGAACAAGCGCAAGTACGCCAGGTACAGTCGAGTGTGAAAGAGCGTAACGAATGTTGTCAAGGGTAGTAATGTGTTGGTTGTTCATAGTTGTTGGTTTTTAATGAAAAAATAAAGTTGCTGTTGTAGTAGCAAAGAAACTTCTTCCTCCTTCGAAACAACAAACGCCTTTTCTTCTTCGTCCGTGCCATATTATCATCACCGCTCAGAGCTATATCTATAGTTTTTAATAGAAGCACTTGTAGTAACATGCAATCCCTTCTCACACCCGTTTATGCAGACAACTGAAACACAATGGCGACATAAGGTATGATCTTTTACTTTTATTCTTTTATCCCAACCATAACATCTACAGTGACAATAATAAAACCCTACATTCCACCCATCAGCATATATAACTACCTTATCCACCAAGACCGGCAATTTTCGTGTTGGCATATGCAAAAGGAAAAAGGTAATCGTCGTTGTCACCGTGTGTGTGCAAGTACAGCGAATTGCAGAGGAGGATTATAGTTGTGGAGGTGTGTATGCATCATAGGAATATAATTATCATCGCATTAATGTGTATACATACAGCAAAGAAAGAGATGACCGTCACTACAATACGATGATGATGTGCGTGTGCATACAAGTATAAAAACAAAAGACCGGCGTCATAGTCGTCAACATGTAATATGGGCGTATATGGTAGAGAGGTATTTGCGTCAGGCTGTATGTTTTGCAAGCCAATGGCGGATCAGCGTCATGTTGTATATGAATGTGTTTGAGTAATGGAGAAGAAGAATGTTGCGTCGTAGTTGTTGTGAGTACGAGTTGAATGTGCAAGTAGAAGACGATGTTGTATTACGCAGTAAGTTTGACGTTGGAATGGCGCAAGATGGTACATTAAGTATAGACAGAAAAAAAAAAAGAGAAAAAAGCAGTAATTCTGAATAAGCATGTATCCACCAAAGCTATATCCCAAGCACAACCGACAACCTTTTCCTTCCCTTGTTCACCTACGCAACTTTGAAAGGCTATCGTTTTTTCTACAGTAACGGCGGTCTACACCTTACAAATCTTGAGCACATGCTTTTTTTTAAAAAAACAATTACCATGATTCCGTTTTTTGTTCAATCTGTGGATTGTGCCGCTTTGTTTTCTTTTTCTCTTCTATTCATCATGGAGACAGTAAAAAGTCATATACAAGTGTGTTCGCAGCAGTTGAATTGCCATGGTGGTTGTTAATGAGAAGAAAAAAAAGATCTTTGGTTGTTGCTGCTGCTATTTAACCCCACTCTTTCCTCCCGCCTCAGCCACCACCCTCTAATTTTTTTCACACTCAACCGGGGTGGAAATAAGGGGATGCGGCTGGTGGTGAGAAACGATGAAGGGTGGTGAGAGGAGGCATGTATTTCAATAAAATCTTTATAATGGGTCTATCTGTTATTGTTCAAGTAACTAGACTACTCGTTAACTATCAGTAAAGTACCGGTTTTTCTTTAAAGTGATCTTCGATTTTCTTATAAATCAAAGTGCTGCAATAGTACGATTGCAGCAAGACCATAACTATTGTACAGTATTATGGGTGTTTACATAATATATCATGTTTTCATGGTCTGATTGATAACTAGTACACTTCTTTGACACTATTTTCTTTTTGCTTACGTTATTCGATTACACATCTTGTAGCAATATTTCTGTTTGCGAGCTGGTTGTTTGACGTTTTTAAAGTAAGAGAGAAGGGAAGAGGTCTAATTTTGTGGTCGATTAAGTAGGAATGGTTGGTGAAGTTGTGGCGGGTACAAAAGAGATTATGGGAGCGATGGACAGAAGGGTACACAACTTGGGCAGCTGGTCTAAAAGAGACATGGTAGAAATGAAAATTGCTCAACTGCATACTGATAGGTTTACCTGTAGGAGCGGAAAGGAAAGGTATGTATAGAGTTGAGAATTCAACAGAATACCAAGCAATGGCTTTTGAGAACGCATTGGCAGCTAGAATTGTACAAGAATGATTGAAATATGAAGCAGTATTGCAAGGAGAGGAGCGATCGGATAACTTATGCTACACTGAAGCCAGTTCATCTTCTCTAAAGAGATGTAAGAAATTAGCGCGATTCTGCTGCAAAAACACAAACATATCGTCTTTGATAAATGGCCACATATCCTCATCGTTTTTCAAGGCCAAAGCCAAGACACGAAAACCACAATCACCATCAGGCTAAGGACTAACAATAGTGGCGACTTGCTGCTTGGGTACATCGGTGCTTAAGACACCAGCCAATGGCACCGCCAGATCCTTGCCCTTTCCTTCCCTATTTTAACGGCCCACCACAATCAGCTTATATTATACACTGGAATGATTGGTACATACCATGTGGCTGCTGCGTCAGCTCCGAAGCCCGTCTTGGCCTTTTTTGCTTTGCTCATCTTGGATTTCGAGTGTAATTGGCAAGCGTTTGTTGTTATTACTGCTGTTGCTGCTGCTGCTGCTGGCGTTATTTGCAGTAGTGCGAGCTGTTGTTTTCTTTGTTCGCACAGGTGGAGATTGCAGTTCATGCATATCAATGAACGAATCATTACTGATTGCCTTCAATTTATGCAAAAGATCTGCTAGTTGCTGCTGGTTTTGGAGATTGAATCCTAGGTTTTCAATCCGGACAAGCTCAGCGGCGACTTGCTTTTCGATCGTTGGCTTCTCGTGGTCGTCCACAACTGCTATAACGTTGGGTGCAGAGAGCACATCGACAAATTCGTCTATTGCAAAAAAGAAGAAAAGAAAACCGGCTCATAAATCGTCGGTGAACATACTCACCATTGTTTTAAACTCTGCAATAGCCATACCATTGAGATTCGATGCTGTTTTTTCTGGGAACAAGTGCCAACGCCGAGGGATAATCGACAATGGAATGGGCCCGTTAGCTGGATACATATGACAGCATGGTATTCCGTAATGGATCTTTAAGGCACACTTGTAATGCATCGTCTTCAGCACGTTCGAAAATCTCAACTGGTCTTTGATGGCTTCAAAAGCAAAGCGAGATATATTACGACTGAGGAGCTCAAGTCGCGTTTTATATGCCTCAGGAAGATGAGAATTAGCACTCAATGCTTCCTTATCAACCTACTGATTCCAGTTGGTGTTCTACAAAAGCGGCTATCATCAATTACACAGTATTGCTTATCGCAAACCCCAAACGTGCCGATACTTAAATATAAGTATGCAACAACATGAATTGATGCGAACATTTCTCAGCAAAACGTATGTATATATACCTTGTCTTTATACCACATATTCAGATGTGTGAAAAAAAGATGAAGGCTGCTGGATGGATCGATGTACTTTTTGATTTCGGCGTGAGCACCTTCAGCCCGGTTGGTACTCGTATTTCCAAGGTGTCGCAGTTGGCCGGTCTCACTACCAACCCATTTTTCCCCAAAGGCAAACGGCACCGTAGTTATATCACATTCTTCATCGTATTAAGCAAACTAACCATGACACAGCAAAAAATACTCCTTTAACGACACCAGCTTCATCATTCCAACCCTTTCTCCGCCACCCCAGCAGGGTAGACCACGTCGCGCATCCATGACCCCTGGAACGCCAACTTTGACATGGTACTCTGACAAATTCCGCCCTATCAACTTTCCTTTGCAAAACTATTGCATCAAGCATTCCAAACACTATGCCACTGAAGACGCCTTCAGAAAGCACACGACAAAGTGCCATGGAATGAAGCTTGAAAAAAAGCGTCCAGGTCCGCCATCAACAGTGTCAGCAAAAAGGCAAAGGCACACAAAATGGGAGAACTCAAAGAAGTATGCTCCCACTGACAAGGCCAGAAAGACGATACAACGACGAGATGCCGCTGCTTCAAAAATGTTCATGGAGCTGCTGGTGATAGGCGAATTTAAACGACAACGAGCTTATTTAAAGCTACTCGATGCTGTTGAAGTTGCTATTGAGCGAATTGAATTCCATTGTACAATCCAAGAGTATCAAAGCAAGTTCGGATCCTCCTGGAAATATTGCGTCTACTCTTTATGCGCAGCAGAAGGTCGCACTGTTTTGGATTCGACAAAGAACCAATTTTTCGACAACATTTTTATGCAAGAAGCAGAGAAGGAGAAGCAGAGAAGGAATACGAACAGCTCTCTGTGTCCGAGATCATGGATGTGAATGCTGCTGTCAGAGACGCTTTGAAAGCAACTTGCCCTCGATTTCTTGCTGACCATGGGCCTATATTTAGAGCTTTCCGTTGGGTTGGAAACCCTTTTCTGTTGCGCTCAAGCCATAGCGACGAGAGCATTATCAATCTCGGGACGATCACCGACGATGAAGATGAAGAGAGGGGCCTCTTCAAGAAAAACGTCCCAAGACCCGATGAATGGAGGTCCCTTCTCGAAAACGATTTGGAACCAGTGCTGTTGCGCATTGAGTCCACCGGTAATAAAAAACTCAGAGGACGTCGATACGAAGAAGAAGAAGAAGATGTAGGCGAGGAAACAGCTCATAGCAGCTCTGAAGGTGGAAGCGGCCATAGTAGTGTTAGTGAAGATGATCAACATGAAGTAGAGTACGAAGACTTTTAATAATGATGTTTGCTCATGCTCACATAGACAATACTTGTTTGATGATCTACTCGGCAAATTATTAAGTTACATCAATGATACAAATCCTTCCATCAAGGCTTTTCAACATATCAAAAGGAAGCATTGATTTTAATAGCTTAATCCCTAACAATAATCAGCATTGAAGAAAGCATAACCGAAGTAGTAACACATTGTTCACATTTATTTATCAAGTAAAAAAGGTGATGCATATAAGAAGTACTGCACTTAGCTTTTCCCTTATCGGTTGATCACCGAGCATATAGATTCTAGTAAAAAGAGCTGGCTAACCTCATTTTAAACCAGGATTCAGATTCCCTCTTGTATATCATATAGTAACCGGTAGCTAAGCTAGACTTTACCTCCGCTGACACAAATACGGCCGATTGCTAGATGTGATCCCCGGTGAGTTTGATTGTGACAGAAAACCAACTAAATATAATGCTTGTTAGCATACATAGCATTTGAGCTAAATCATAGCACTATTGTTACATATCCATATTCTTGTTTATCGTAAGCAAATAGAAAAAAAGTTGCGAGTTGTGTTTACTGAGCGGACGAGGTTGGTGCAGTATCAACCGGCATCCCCTCTCGAAACGGAGTTGGATCGTCTTCCCATTCCTCGTCTTCGATTTCATCGGCTATCTTTGTAGGGTCTAACACCTCCAAATTGGTCTCCTCATCTTCTTCCTCCATACCAGCAGCATTACGAAGCAGCGACAAGGATCCTGGGTTAGCCTCGGTAGAATCAAGAATTACGGCCAATTGTTTCGCTTGTTCTCTTTGCCAAGACTTGGCACGCTCCAACTTGCGTTTCCACATTTGGATCAAACCGATCTGGCCATAACACGCTTCCAAATTGTATGGCACAGTTACGGCTGCGTTGATAGCCATTTCGAGCTTATCAATAGCAGCTTGTCCATACTTTAACACAGAAGCGGCTTCGTCCTAATAGCGGTCCATAAATCTGTGCATTAACATTACCGGCAAATTAAGTCAAGCAAAATTTCCATACCTTCAAAAAAGCAAGTTCTTCGTTTGCTCTTTGCAAACCATGGAAAGCGTCGTATGGTGCGTTATCCTCAACGGTGCAAATGATGTTCATGCGAAAACGTAAATGACTGTCTTTTCGAAGTACTGCATTGATATCGTTACCATAATCTTCGAAGCCTGCATATAGCGTTAGTCATTTGTTAAAGTCGGTCATGCTGTATGATGCGAAGATATAACACGTACCAAAAACAGGTCCGGCATTGATCTTCGTGTTGTATGTTATGAGGCGCTTTTCAATTTGATTTCGCGCTGCTTGTCTTTGTCCTGCGAGATTCTGCGTCTGGTTGTGGCCTACAAAGACAATATTTCAGATGAGTTTGTCTTTACTCGATCGAGCTGATCAAAGATGTTACCATTGCCTTGGTGTTTGAAAGCTTGATTAATAATATCATAGATAGCAATAGCAACACGCAAATTCTCTATAGCTCTGCATGTTTGAGCAAATCTGCTGCTGCCATCTTTTTCGACGTTTCTTTTTTGGATTCGGCGACGTGTCTATCCCATTTCTCTTCCATCTCTTTCATCGCTTCTTCATCATTGACATTAACGCCCGACTGTCTTAGAGCTTTCAGCGCATCTTCTTCAAGCTTGAGTGTGCGTACGTATCTGCGGTGGATGTATTGGCCTATAAGAGCAAACGTTCAGTGGATTTGCCGCAATTTGCCATGTTGGTGCGATTAATATACCTAATTGTCATCTTTTTGTTGGGCGTAAAAGTTCAGAGCAATCGTCAGCGTGAGTCGTCTGTTGAGAGACGACATATGTCGTGTCATAGACACAAATCCGTTGAGGAATGACCAAAGTCTCTCTAGATGTTCACCATCTTGCAGCCCAAAGCCGATCCTCAAACGAGGGTAAAATGAATTTGGCATTCGGGATTGTGCCCGGTTATATGAAAAATGCCGACAGCAATGTCAACATCCTTAATGCTGTGTAGACGATCGGTTCTCTGGTAATAAGAAATAAAAAAAGAGAGATATGTAACCGCTGGTAGGTTTGCAGTGTATGGTATTTAAGAATCGAAGATTACCTGCAGAGCAGGACGAAGCTTGCAACCGACATCGTACATGATGCGGATGTTTGATCCGTAAAGGGGTAAGTCGATCACCTTCTGTAGACAGCTAAGCATGTATGTGTATCTAGTATCATTTGACATCGGTTAAAGTAAGACCTGATACATTAAATGTATACTTCGAGAAACTCACTGTTCGCCTGGCGTATTCATATCGATGATGGCCACTGGATGACCATGACCACACGTACACGCGAATGCTCCTGTCTGGTCCAGATGGCTTGTTTTTACTCTCTTCTTCAAGTTGGGAGCTTGCCAAGTCTCACATCCGTCAGTTGTCTGGGAATTAAGGTTATTCAATATAAATGCACGCTCCATGTATGTCCTAAATATTCATACCGAGCTTTCATATTGAATTACTTGCTCCGGCTTGACCCACGGGCGATCGACTTCCTCTTGGCCTTCAAAGGCGACTTCCTTCGGATCCTTTGTCTTAGCAAACGACGTAGCGACTGGTTTCCATCTCCAGCTATGATCTTGGGACCAGACTAAAACAAACGCTCGACATGTTTAACTCCTTAATATAGATAATTGTTTCACAGCACATAAATTAGAAACATACCGCATATCTGCATGCGGGACATGCGTCATCCAGGTCACATAGATCTCGATGCTTCTTCTCCAGATTGAGCGTTAATCTCCCATAAATTGGGAGAGCTTCCGTCAGTCGTTGCTTGAACGATGCAGGTATCGGAAGCTAATAGAAAGTGTGTAATCACATTAAGTTCATCCTATTTACTTATCTTTCCATCTATTAAACTAATCATACCTTGAAGTGATACTCTGCTCGAGCCCATTCAGCGATTGCATGGATCGAGACACGGCAAATGTAATGCATGTTATGGAAACTGCGCATTTGTTCAATGTGAATGGCGTGCTGCGGATCGAATGGTGTCAAAGGAAAGAGATGACGACTCATCATGACAACTGGCAACGAATGTTCGGGGCAATTCTTGCAGTAAGTGATCTTGTCAGGGCGAATCCCTAACACATATGTTGATCAATTGATGGTCTACTTTCTAACTGTTTTTCCTTTTCTTATTCGTAAAGTTGAGGAACTGCTTCTATTCATACCACACTTATAAACAGTCGTGACGTAGGTCGACTTCTTCTCTTTGCACGCGCACGTCAAGAAAACGTCGTCGGTGGCCTTTAGTGACTGAGGTACTGGGACCTGGACACCATAGCCTTGGATATACGCCTCAGTGAGAAAAGGTAAGAGCTCGGCCCATTTCTTGGCACGTTCGTCGGTTCTCTTCCTTTTACGCATGACGAAAGGACTTTCTACGACATTGGCCCATTCATTTTCGTTGGTGTCAGAGGGTGTAATCTGAGCTCGCGAATTCGAAGCATTACGTCCGATCAAAGAGGTCGTGTGCGTAAGCTTTTTCGTCCCATACTTGTGGACTACTCCAAAAGTTCTTTTGCGTTTTTCACCGAGTTCAGGCATTTTTTTGTTTGATAAGAGGAGAGGGATAATAAACTACTGACGGCAACTGCCACAAATGGCAAGCGTGCACAGGTGTATAATGTAGACCCCGCACTTGCGGTTGCGGTTGCGGTTACTTGTCGAGCTGTTCCTCGATAATACCGCAAGTAAAAATCCGACTATCCAAGTCGGCGGCTGGGTATGACTAGGACGGTAGATCCTATTGTCTTGCTCAATTGCTAATTTTAGATTTCCCTTAACAATAAAGCAACGTGTCTTCCAGCGTCTGTGCGCTTTCATATGAAAGTGGCTACCACGTGGAATGTTCTTTTTTTTCGGTCTTTACGCTGCAATGCCAGTGACGATCACACACTATAGGCAGGAACTGTGCTTTTGCTTAAAATAAATCGTGTGCCACGTGTGCCTCGCTTATCTTTCTCAACAGCGTGCCACTTTTTTTTTCTTTCCTTTTCGAGTCACTTCCCGTTCCACCATTTTCAGTGTAGCAGCATTCAATGAAATTCTTTCTTTAAATACTTCTGAAAGTCCTCTCTGCATCCACTACTACCAACAGGCATGTGTTTTTTTATTATTCGGATCAAAGTTGACATCAAGTCAATGCATTTACACGAGCTTCATATTCACAAAAACGGCAGCAATGGTGGCGCCATCATTTTCTCATATTACCCGCTTCTCTATAAGCATGTGGCAATGATTCTAGGACCACATAAACTGACAGAATACTAATACCCCTCATGCACAAAGATTTTGTCAGTCAGTTATCCCCCAATTTTTTATCCCAATCTATTCTTTCTGCTGTGACCATGGACTCTGATACCTTTACCATGCCCCAACTTGCCTATGACGAGTTTGCTGATGAATATGAAAATGTTGAAGCACTCAATGATCCAGCCTTCCGAGATGCTGATCGTACGATCAGTCGGTGAGTATCGTTCCATTACATATGCGTATATACTTGTACCTGCCCAATTCTTATATCTACAACTGTTTGACTTGCTAGTGAGGACGCACGGGAAGTTTTGTACTGGCTCAATGATGGCGAACCTACCGTAATGAACATGCTCACCGAAACCATGCGTACCGCAACCTTGGCATCAGCCGATCAAGCTGTCGAGCCTTCCATTTACATCGACAGCGATGACCTCAGGACCATCCGCTACCGGACAACAAGCGTTGATTTGACCAATATCCAGGTTGGTGTCGGCCGCCTCCTCGTCGACTGTCGCACGCAACTACAAGACCATGTATTGCGCGGCTATACCTTGCAGGAGCCTTTCTGTGATCGCTTCCATGAAATAATGGCCGATACCAGGACAGCCGATCCCTCCATCGCATTCTTCACCAGGCCCGGCAACCCAACAGCGAACGACGACTACCTAAAGGTCTTGTTCAGGCGCCTGGCAGTGCAACACAGTGACGAATTTATTGCAAGCGTGACCGAAAGCGGCGAGCTCTTGTGGAATCTCGCCGCTCTGTACGAGTGGCTGTCCCAATGTCGTAAATTGATCCTCATGATCATGGTTCTGGTTCACATTACAAGTGGACAACCGGCGCGAGGTGAGGAGCTCGCATGCACGACAATTCGTTCGTCCGCGCGTGGGGCCAAACGTGGCATGTACTGGTACCGACAAAAGGTCATGCTGGTTCAGTACTACTACAAGCGTCGTTCGAGAGGCACTGCCGATCGTTATGTCGCACGCTTCCTCAACAAGGAGCTAAGCGAGATTGTCCTGATGTACCTTGTACTGGTGCGCCCGTTCGAACGGTATGTGTATATTTCAATGGTTTTTTTTTTGGCTGTTGTTTGAGTGCTTAATTCATAGTACCGTTGTATCGCTAACTCGTCTGCATTCGCTTGTAGCTTTGCCTTTTATCAAACCCGGATGGGCACATCAGACGTGGTTGTTGGTATCGAGAACTACCAGAACTTCCTTTTTGTTGCGCACGGCAAAGTCGTGACCAGCCCTATGTTCAGTAAAGAACTGCACAGGTATGCTATCTACATTATATCACACAAAAATTAGGCAAAAAGGGAGAGAGAAGGACCTGATTAACACGTACTTGCCATTTTTTCCTAGGTACACCCAAAGCCATATGGGTGCCGGTCTCGGGCTTCAAGCCTATCGCCATGTCGCCACCTTCTTCATGCGCCACCACCTCCAACAAGGAACTCATCTGTTGTAAACAACAGAAGAGTTGCTTGCCCATCCTGACATTGACACGGTCGAAGGTGACAACAACGACGACGATATAACAACATACGAGCAGCAGCAACAAGGTGGGCGCCGACAATTGTAAATCGATTCGATCCTGGGTTCTTCGACATGCAGGCGGCACACTCTTCTTCCGTTGCGGGCATGCACTATGCTCGAACGTCAAGCGATTTCCGGTTTTAACGACTGAATCGATCCACACGTTTGACCTATGCTCGCGAGAATGGCAGAAGTTACTGCGTACGTAGAGTCCATCCTATCTAACAGCGTAAAAGAAAAAAAAGGAAGATCTGAACTGATTGAGTATTTCATTGATATACAGATATGGTGATGCCATTGCGGCACCCACAACACAACCAGAGCGACAACCACAGCAACTGCAACCGCAACGCAACCACCCACCCACCGCAACCCCGCAACCGCAATCGCAACCACAGCAACAGCAACTGGCTTCCGGCCCTCCATTTCCGCACCTTCCGCAACATATAAACCGCTTGCTCAATCAGGTCACCGAGCAGTTCATTGTAAATTTGCATCACAATGCCACCAAGACTTCGCTCCTACCATCAAATATAAACGTAAGATACCTCTATTTTTTTGCTACCCATGGCTTCTGGCTTACGATCCTTCTCCTTGTACTCATCAACTTTCTCCTATCATGCATACTGTCATTATCACCTCTAGCGATCCTCCCTGCCCATCTTATAGCTTTACGAACCTTACTCGGCGATCCAACGGCCAGCTTTCGCTCGCGCGAGCAAGCACTCGCCATACCTCTCATTATGGACCGCAAGCTAGACTTGTTGGTCATCATGCCAACGGGTATGGGCAAGAGTGTGCTCTTTTCTTTGCCCCCGCTCCTTGAGGAAGACAAACTCACGATCGTCTTTGTTCCTCTTGTGGCGCTGGTCGCTGACCACATGCGTCGTTTGACAGAATGCGGCATTTCTGTTGCGGAATGGCAAGGTTAGTAGCATTGTATTACATTTGAGAAAAAGACGAAGAGAAATTGTATTAAAGTCTGATCATGGACTTATCTTCTTCATATCTTTATATAGACAATGCACCAACAGTACCGGACAGCCAAATCCTCCTTGCGCCAGTGGAAGCAATAGCGAGAACCGCATTTGTCGAGTACTGCTACGAACAACAGCATCGTTTGGTACGTTTTGTTGTTGACGAGTGCCACCTTGGTCTGACGCAGCAGTCATTCCGTCCTGCAATGCATAAGCTGCAAGTCCATCGCCTCGTTCCTGTTCCTCTCCTTCTCCTCACCGCCACCTTGCCACCGACCATGGAGGACCAAGCCAGAATCCTTTACGCATCAAATTTCGCAACGATCCGTGCCCAGTCTACAGAACGACCGAACCTTTCCTACCAGGTGTGCGCCCACCCCTCGAAGCAGAACGACGACCAGATACACGTCATTGCAAAACATCTGCTCCATTTTGCGGGCCAACGTGGCATTCTTTTCTGTACTACCAAGGCAGAGGTCATTGACTTCGCTGGATACTTGCAAGCCCGTTTCCGGTACCGCCCCCTTAAAGCACAGTTTTACCATGCCGATATGGACGAAGACACGAGGGCCGAACGACAGCAGCATTGGATGTCAAACGGGGGACTGATGATCACTACGAGCGGATTTGGTGTTGGCATTGATTCCCCCAATGTACGCTTCGTGTTCCACTGGAAGTTGCCGTATAGTTTGTTGGACTATGCCCAACAAACAGGTCGTGCTGGTCGCGATGGGCTGCCTTCAGTGTGACGGGCGTACTATTGCATAGAAGAAGAGGCAAGACTTGGCAGGCTAAGCCAACGGGATGAAGAAAGAACAAAAATCGCCGACCGCGAACAGATGATGGCGTTTGCACAGGTAAATAACAAAAATTAAATAAAAATCTGTATGGATGTCAGTATGATTACAGTTGCTAATACGAGACTTTATAACAGTCAAACACCTGCCTTCGCTTTGAGATGCAGCAGTATCTTGATGGTGCTCCATTTCTGAACTGCCTCGCGGAAAACAGGCTCGAGAAGTGTAGCATCTGCGACGATACTCCGTTACGTGCTCTGGACCTCACTGTATCTCGATCACCACCGCCATTATCACCTTCTCCAGGCAGTTTCCGATATTTTAGAGCTGCTCCAAACCGCTCACAAATACCACGACCCTCATCATCATCATCACCCCTCCAACGGCAGAGCTCAACATCGTCTGTGGGGTCATCTGCTGCTTTCGAGACAGTATCGCGACAGGAAATTCCATTCGATCTGCCTGCTCCCTCTCCTGTAAGTTATGATGTTTTTTTTAATCAGTTGTCAAAATTATACTGTATTAAACGTGTCATTCCTTTTTGTTAGGCTTACCTCCAACGCATGCAGCAGCAGCAGCAGCAACAACAACAACAAGGCCCGAGCATCCATTCTCTTGGTGGCTATACTCGCGCCCAGCAGCAGCACCAAGAGCATCGCAGAAACCGACACGAGTTCCTGAGCCTATGCGAAGAAGCCGACGAAGAATGTGTCGTCTGTCGCGTCCGTGGTGTGCAACAATGTGGCTCGCATGCTCTTGACAAGGCACACTGACGACTACTGCTTGCGGTGCTTCTGCGTGCATGTGAACTTCTTCGGCCATTGCATGAAATACCGGTATGTAGCCATGACACATGCTTACCCCCTTCTTCTTGCAGCAACACTGACTTTTTGTCTTCTTTGTTTCATAGGCCAGGTGTATGCTGGACTTGTGGAATACCAATCAATCATGCCTTGAGCCATGGCAGAGAGACGAATGCCTGTAACCCTGCGATCCAACGCACCGTTTATCCCTACTGTTGGGCTGCGTTTCACACTGTTGACTTTCGACCTGGCTTGCTCCAGATGTGTCAAGCCATCGATGATTCCGTACCGCCCTTAGGTTCGAAGCAAGAGTATGCTCAGTGGCTCTCCCACAGAAACCGCAATGGTGAAAGCAATGCTATGTCACTGTTTAGAAAGTTAAAAAACACGACCTTCCACTTCCATCGATAATACTTCCAGTTCTGCTCTCTCCCTCTTCCTCCTCTCCCTTTCATTTCTTTCTCTGTATGGTTTTTTTGTCCTGGTGACTTTTTTCTACTTGTACTTGCATCTTACATTAGCCTCAACTTTCTTTTTGTCATAACAATGTCGAATGCGAACAACAAAAAAAATAGCGCGTGATCGTTGCTGCTTTCTTTATTCAGGGCCTGATTTAAAGACGATCTTTATTTTTCATAGTGAATAAAAGCGTCTGTTCGTTGCGTGATGTGTTTCTATCAAAGTTGCTGTTGCTGGTTGCTGTACATTATTCGTGGTAGGGAAATGGCAAATAAAACATCTGTAAGAAGAAGGATTTTCGCCACCGCTGTCGTTTTTGCCTTCGCTGCATTCTACGCTTTCATTGGCTGTCTCCTCCGTGGACACCGTGGACATCACCCACTGCGCGCGATTTTCGCCCACAGACAATGTTTCGTTATGCACGTTTGTTCAAGATCCTGTTGAAGGCTAATGGAAACCATCAGTTTATAAATCGCATCCATAGCCAGCTGGCAAAGCTGTGTCAGAATTATATAGTTACAGCGGTATTTATTCTGCAACATGAAAAAACGCGTTATATGATGTAGCTGAATAGACGTGGATGTACAGGCAAAAAAATACGTCAAATAGCTTTTGTAAAGGCAATCATCTGCTGGTTATGATAAGACAAGTTAGCAAACAGTGGGTCAGTTTTATATATATATATATATATATATATATAAATGTATAGAACAAAGGAGAAGACGTATAGATTCATGGAAAAGTAACGATATCACATATATTTGAATTAGACGTAGTTTTCAAAAACGTATTTCGGCAGTTGTGTATAAAAGGAAACAAAAAGATGAGCTCAGCATAGCTATAATGTTATAGGAAACGGACGCTTGTTGACGCATTACGGTAGAATAAGAATGAATAAGAAAAGTGACGATTTATCGCATCATAGAAACACAAAACAAAATCGTTGTTCTGGAATGTCATTGGCATCAACCTCTTTATGAATGTCCAGCTCGCGCTGCAAGCCTTCGATGCTCTCTTCACCGCTTTCTGCCCGCATTGTTCCCATAACGCTTTCTGCAAAAGAGAACGTCAATCTGCCCTCCGGACACTCCTCCTCTTATTATTCATCTTATTTTCGACTCCATAAGATACCGGAGGCTCTTGCGGCTGCTGCTCCTCTTCATGCTGTCGGTTTGCTCTGCGCCTGCTGCTGGTATGATTGCTAGGAATAGTCATGCACTTTCACGAATAAATTTCCAGCTGCTGGCAACTTACGACATCTTGCTAGATGCCACGATACTAATACGTTCTATGTAGTAAAGCCAGTCAGAGATACGTACATGTGCTTTCGGTAATCATTGAGGTAGCTTAGCTTAAAACTTGGCGTACTCGCACTAGTCATGAACCAAGGAAATCCCAGTAAGGGTTGTGAATGTGCACATAATATTAGGTAACAAGACAAGACAAGCGAAGAGCAGATACAAGGAAATAAGATGGTAATCAATATTTCATTCTAATGATGATCTTCAGAGTAAATATGTTTACAATAGAACCTGGTTATACGGTAAGATAAAAGGGAATATCGTAATGGTATAATACAAGGATTTTCAGAATGAAGGGGTAAACAATATAGTGAGCAGAGGTTATGAAGAGATACAACCACGAAAGGATAACAATCCCGTTTTTTCATGAAGGATTTGTACCAGTACTGAGGGACAAGATGGATGCTTCGTTCTTGATGCATAGGAACGCCACTGTTGCTTTATATGCTCCTTGGAAATTCAATCAATCAAATATTTATACATTAATAACTTCATTGTGGATAGGCGTATATCCCGATAGCAAATAAAAACGTATGTATCACTTACGTAGGCTGCTACACAACGGAGATGGGTGAAGGAAGTTAAGGAGTCGATGGGAAAAAATATAGAGTGTATCAAGGAATGGATGTGAAAGACACGCAGTGTGTGAAATACACAGAAAGACAAGTAGAAGTGGTTCTTCGAACATGATGCCTGCGACTATATGCTATAATGACAAGAACCGCACGAAGGCAAGAGAAGCCAGGGATTCATTATCAAGATGACATAATAATCACACCAACGGAAGTGCTCCACAAGGAAGCCCTCCATGAGCCGGGCTCACAAGCCGTGTATAACGCTAGCGCCGCCGCACGAAGGCTGCCACTATCCCTCAAAGTAGAGAGAAAGTAACAAGGAGAAGCCAGGGGCAGACATCTAAGCTATACAGTGGGCTACGCTGGCTGACATCAGGGTAGATTGTTTGGGAGAAGTGATGACTTGAAATGACAAGGATTGGAGTATACAATGTATAGGAAAATGGAAGTAGGCAATAAGTAAAAGAAATCAGGTTTTCTACAGTCTGTGGTATAGCGATACCGAAGCCAGAATAATGGATGTGCTGGCAAG